CGAAAAGAAAAAAAAAACCCCCAAAAAAAAAAAAAAAAAAAAAAAAAAAAAAAAGAACACAGAGTGCCCAGCATTGCCAGCAACTACTAGTGCTTGGTGTCTCCTTCCCCTGTGTGTATGCCTCCTCTCTCTGCCCCCACAGACATGGTGACACAGTTCAGGGCTGGCACATAATGGGGTTCCCTGGACAGTCTTGGGTATTGCTTCCCTACCAGAGGAGCCAGCCTGCCCCTGGAGCTGCCAAGGCCCTCTCTCAGCTGACAAAGCTGGGGCTCCCTGTGGTGGCTTCCCTTGTGTCTGCCCCCCCACACACACACACACTGTGCCTGCCCACCTGGTCAAGCACAATCCGCCCCCGCACCCCCGTTATTGCTAGTTGTTGCTATGCCAAGAGGAAACTGTTGTGTCCAAACAAGGTACTTAAGCTAAATGGCCATTGTGACGTCAGCAGCCTTCCCACCCAGCACCCCGGCCTGGAGCCGCATACCCACACACCCACACCTTGGCACTTGCATTTGCCGGGTCACAGGGGACAACGCAGGGGAGGGCATGGGGGTGTGCCAGGGGACGGCTGCTCACCATCAGTGAGAACATGAAACAGAGGCTTCAGGTCAGGGCTGCATGCTTACAGGGGTAGGGCACCAGAGTCCAGGGGATGCCTGCCCTTTGGGGCTGAGAGACAGCAGAGTGGCCCAAGCCTACCTGCAATGCCGACTGGGGACCTGCACAGCCCCCTCTAGGGAAGGAACTCATTCCAAAGCAGCCCTAGGGCCCCTGAGCCATTCTGCCTAGTCCATGGCACCTGTGATCTTGGGATGACTTGGAACTGGCTCTGCTTTAAGAAAACCCAGAATAAGAAAATCCACTCTACAAAGGATTGTGCTTCATCAATGGGTCTACTTCAGTTGTTCCTTAATAAACATTGCATTAAAAATGTGGCCCGTTTTTGAACAAGCACAAAATACACATATTTGTCAAGAATGAACACACATATCCAGGACGCCTAGAATCTCATTCTGTGTAATTCCAGAGACCGTCATCGAACCAGGAAGGGGCTTCGGGAGCAATTCATCCAGGTGGAGAAGCTCATGCGTGAAGAAAAGATGGCATTTGCCTAAATTTAGAAGAGTCAGGGCTGACCCCTGCATGATGACTGTAACTCCTAGCACGGCAAATGTGTATCTCTACATCACTAGCTGAGAGGTCTTCAGAACGTTCACAGAAGAGGTGTACCATCAAAACATTTTGCATGGATTTCAACATTTCCTTTCTTGGCAATCAAAATAAACTTGTGGCTTAATTCCATTTCCGATGAATGTGTTGAAGTCCTTGCCCATCTATGCTAGATGCTGTTCTAAATGAAGATGCTACACAGAAGACGCTATTCTGTGGCTCTTCAAGGTCGGCACTACTGTTATTCCATTTTATAGAGGAAGAAACAAAGACACAGAAAGGCCCAGTGACCTGCCCAAAGCTGACCTGGAACCTGATCAGCTCTCTGTCCCCCACAAGGTACCGCTCGTCTCTGGAATACAAAGAAGTGAAAGCCTTTCTGCCCAAGACCTCCCTGTTGACCCAGCAGCTACCCCCAGAGCACCATCAGGCTTAGGCCCACTGACTTCCATCTTCCTCCCCACCTTTTGCGGTAGACAGACAGAAGTCATTGCAATAATGCCCTTGGGAAGAAGGCAGGGCTTTAAGTGACCAGCCTGCTCCTATTTAATCAAGACAAAAATTGTTTTTTAAGTTTGCCATAAGACACACGAGAGAGAGAGAGAGAGAGAGAGAAAGTGAGAAATCACCGTCTGGGGGAATGGCCACACTGATATCCCTTCTCCTCCAAACTCCTCCTAGGATTTTGGGCACACACACATCCAGTGATTTTCATACCACTCAAATGGCCATGTGGGATCCAATACCTAGCCTCCCTGCCACCTGCTGGCCCATTCAGTCTTAAGAAGTCTGCTACAGAGTAAGCAACCCAGTGGTAGCCTTCTCTGACCCCACTTCAGGGTCTACCTTGAGAGTTCCATCTTAAACAAGAGGGTAGATTTAAGGATATAATGGTTCAGGTCTTTCCCTCCAAGATAAATACAGATGATTTCTTTCAAAATGAACATGGTACCTACTATGCCATTTGACACTTAATTCGCAAATTAAGTGGGAGTCCCCATTTTCCCATCAACAAAGGAGCACCTGCTTTCCATCCTGTGCCCCTTCAGCAGCTTCCATGTTGGTTCCTGACTCTGGAGAGATGAGTTTCCTAGGTAGGCATCCCCCTACCACACTGCCCTGGGGACGGCCTACCATCCACCTCCAACACAAGCCCAGCCGCCCTTCAGAGAGCTCAGCCCCTCTCCCTTTGGGTTTAGAGACCCTTGGGTTTAAGTCCTAGACTTCCAGCAAGTTACCAAGGAGGACGCCCCGTGGCTGTGACTGTGGGCTCATCTTCCTCATACCCCAGACAAAACTCAACAGAGGCTCCAGTGAGCCCCAGAGACACAGGGCCAAATGACTTGCAGTGGAGACATGAACCAGGGGAACCAGAGCAGAGAAAACCTAGGAAAGAAAAGCCAAGAGGGAGCTGGGAGAACAGTGGGGAAATGATGGGAAATGTTGCAGAAACACATCTGGGGTTCAGGATGGACTACAAGCCAACCATTATGTCATCAGGAAAGTCGTGATGTGTTTTCCTATGCAAAAAGGCATCATGACTTTCCTGACAACCTAATAGAAGCCAGAAATTCAGACGAATTGATCTTTCTCAAACCCAGGGCTAGCCCAAACTTCCCGGAGCCCCAGATAGTAACGTGTCATTAAATACATGTGGAGAGGAGCAAGAAACAAGATCTACAGAATACACATGCAAGAGGGATTCCTGAAGAAGATAAGTGAGGCCATGTTGAAACCACTCTTTGGAAGCCTTCACATGTGTGACTGGCTTTTCCAGAGCACAGTCTCACTGCTCTCTACCACCCCCAGGAGCTGAGGAGAGGAGCCTGAGCTGAAGCAGAGGAATCATGGTTAGACATAAGCAAGCATTTCCCAAGCGCAAAGGTTACGAAACTTGAAAATAAATGACTAAGGCAGGTTGAAAATTCTCCTTGAAAATCTTTTTTTTAAGTTATTTCTTTTATTTTATTTATCATTATAGTTATTTTCATTTTGACCAGAGTGATAAAGAGAGAGAGAGAGAAAGAAAGAAAGCCACCAGGTCTGGACTTGAACTGTGGTCAGCCATGTGGGAGTCCAGCGACCCTAACTACCATGCCACCTGCCGGCCCCACTCCTTGAAAATCTTAAAGGCAAATAGAAAGTCCCATTTTCCTGGGTTGGTTTAGGAGTCTAGTGGAGGGATTAGACGAGGAGACCCAAAGACCAGTTAAAATGCTATTTTGATTCTCAAACCAGCAAAAATTACATTAGAGATTCTCAGCTAGCAAAATCACCCACCTAACAGCTCAGCTGTCCCAGCTGGAGCCTTCCCAGGCCGCAGAGCAGGAACCCCAGACTCAGCCACCTACCCTGGGGTGCTCACTAACCAGACCCCAAGAGTCCCCACCCAGGAGCTCCCTCTAGGGACCACAATGAAAATGAAGCTAAAAGATCTAGATGCCAAGTAGCTTCCAACTGGAAACGAGTCATCCAGTCTCCCCTAAAACCCGCGGCAGGCAGTGGCGGTGCCCCACCTGTCTGGCAGCCCCGTCCTTAGTGCTGGCCCAAGGCCCACAGACACTCACCCGGCGGCCGTCCCTGTCCATGGTCTCCCCAGGATGAGTCTTCTAGGCTCAGCTGGTGTCGCGGGGAAGATCCATGTTGGCCCCTGGAGTCCCGGGCATGTGGGGTAAAGGGGGCTGGAGGATGAGGGCCAGCCCCCAGCAACAGGGCGGGACATAGGGATGTGTGAGGTAATCTTAAGTATAAACAACACGGAACTTGCCAGACCTGTCCCTCCGCCCCTCTCCGAGGCCATCCCAGTTACTCAGCGAATACCGGGAGTGTGAAGCTACCTTCACTCCTGAAACTGCCCCCACAGAGGCATCTGTGAGGGTGCTGGCTCCTGCAGAGGGGCTTTCTGAGGGAAAGGGCGAGGCCCATACCTCGGTCTCTGCTGCCGAAGCTTCTAGAAGGGATGCTCCCAGGCCTCCACATCCAAGGCCAGAGACTAAGCCTACCCAGGGCAAGACTGTGTGAACCTTCATCTCCAAGACTACGTGTTCAAATCCCAAATCAGGGCACATGGTCTGGCCATGTTTTGTTTGTTTGGTTGGTTTTAAACTCCATTTGTTCCTATGAAAACTCTTAACAAAGATATCAAAATCAAATTATTTTAATTACGCACATAATAAATTGCCTCTATTGAAAACAATAAAATATTATGACAGAATGCATCAGAGTCAAATAAAATAAAACATATAAATGTCTGCATGGAAACCATTCCAAGGAATGTTGGGCTGACTCATGGTCTCATACTTGTGGTCCATTAGAATATTTGGAGTCAAAAGAAATAAAGAGCTCGGTGGTGGGACCGGCAGTTGGCGTAATGGCTAAGTCGCTGGATTCCCATGTAGTTGACCGTGGTTCGAGTCCCGGACCTGGTGGCTTATACCCACACTAGGTGTGTGTGTTTGTATGTGTGCGTGCCCAAGATCCCGAGAGGAGAATGGAGGAGAAGGGATTGCGGCATGGTCATCCCCCGGGGGGTGATTTCTCGTTTCTTCTCTCTTTCTCTGTCTTTCTGGTGAGTGCATGTGCTCTATAGCAAAAACATCTTTAAAAAAAAAAAAACCTTCAGCAAAATGGGGTGTCTAGAGCCCCCAAACATGGCAGAGCTGCTGCCAAGAACTGCAAAAGAAGTTTCAGGGAAGAGCTTCCCCAACTCAGCATTCTGGAGCACTCAGGTTATCCAAGTTTGAATGAAGCATCATGACCATCTAGTGGCTCGGTCTTCTCAGTTGACAGATGGAGAGACAGAGGCCCGAGAAGAATCTGTCCCTCATGGAAAACAAACAGCAACAGCAGCAATAATAATACGGCTCTGGGTGTCCTGCGAAATGCTTTACAAGCATCCTTCATGCATTCATTCAACAAGCATTCACCGAGCACTGCTTCTGTGCCTGGTGCCAGAGACACAGTGAACAAGACAGGGAAAGGCCCCAGTGCACTGTGGGGGTGGGGGGAGGCAGACAAAAATCAATAAATCAACATGCATTGTCTTAGAAAGCGAGAATGATATAGAGAGAAATACGGCAGGAAGAGACCAGAAGGCCGAGGACACAGAGTCATGATTTGAAACAAGGTGGCCAGGAAAGGTCTCTCGGATGATGTTTGAGCAAAGACTTAAAGGAGGTGACTGCTACTCTCTTCCATTTATTTTTGAGAAAATGGAAACTTTTTTTTGAGGTTTTTGCTAAAGAGTACATGCGCTCACCAGAAAGACAGAGACAGAGAGACAGAAAGTGAGAAATCACCCCCCTCTCAGGGGGGATGGCCACGGTGCAATCCCTTCTCCTCCATCCTCCTCTCGGGATCTTGGGCATGCACATACACATGTTCAGCGCGAGTTTAAGCTACCAGGTCCAGGACTCAAACCATGGTCGACTACATGGAAGTACAGTGACATAGCCATTACGCCAACTGCTGGTCCCAAGAAAATGGAAACTTTTATCTCAGTGTTGAAAGTGTTCACTCCACTTTCAGGTGCTCAAGGGAGCTCTAACGCAGAGAGCAGGTTGGAGGAGAGACTGTCCAGAGGGCCCCTGTGGTTCTCTGATCTCGGGCTATTTTCAGGTACCACTTACCTGGCTCTCCAAGAGAGCAGATCTCAGCAACTGGCCATGTTTTCTTCCTGTCCCTCGTGCAGCAGAAGGAGAGGCCAGCATCGGCCTCTGATGCTCAGTTCCTCCTCACCCCTCCCTCCTAGGGAGGCACCCAGAGCCCTCTGGCCTCCAGTGAGCTGCAAGACATGCCCGAGCCCGACCTCAGGGTCCTTACTGCATCCCCTGGTAGGCCCCTGGCCTCCAAGGGTCACTCTTAACCTCCTTCCCTGAAGGGACCACCAACCTTTGGAAAGGGCTCAGGCTCGCGGTTCTAGGTCAGCTGCGAACAGGAATCCTGACCCAGGGAAAGGCCAGCTCTGTGAACTCACATGTCCGCAGACTCACCATCTGGAAAGCGGCGACACGTCAACCCAGAACATGCCTGGCACGAGGCACTGGGCAGGCTCTGAAGGAATGCTGGGTTTATTTCTTGGCCTTTTGATTGCCTTCACAGGTGAAGGTGGCCTAGCCCAGAGTCCGTGCTGACCAAGCCATCTGACCCATATGTCAGTTTGGTTCAACAAGAATAGAGCACTTGGGACCAGCAGATGGCATAATGGTTATATCACTGGGCTCCCATGTAGTCAACCACAGTTCGAGTCCAAGACCCAGTGACTTAAAACTCACATGGGGCGCTTGTTTCCGCGTGCCCAAAATCCTAAGAGGAGAATGGAGGAGAAGGGATTGCAGCAGGCTATCTCCCCAGGGGAGGTGATTTCTCACTTTCTCTCTCTCTGTCTCTCTCTCTGGAGAGTGTACACGCCCTATAACAAAAATCCCTCTTAAAAAAAAGAAGAAGAAGAATGGAACGCTCAGCAGCAGGCCCTGCAGGGGTGGAGAGGAGGGGGCAGTGAGAACAGAAAGGCAGGGGCCGTCCCTTGGAGAATGCACACGTGTGTGTTGGGGCTGGGCAGGATGGGTGGACATGGAGGTGAGATCTTCGCCGGTGCTTTTCCTAGTTTCAGAACGGAAGGAGCCAGGGAGCCATGAGACCCAGACCCTGCCCTGGACGGAAGGCTCGTCACTGCCCTTGTCTGCTGTGCTTGGCCCCGGCTGGCTCTGCCCTTTCCTGGCTCCTGCCGTCCAGGCTCCAGCCCTCCTGCCCATCTTCTCAGCCCCAGCACCCCCTGTCTCCCTGCTCTCCTCTCTCCCCTCCTGCCCCAGTCAGTGCTACTCTGCTGCCTCCAGCTCCCTGGCTGCCTTCTGGAAGGATTTCTGGCAGGCTCTGACCCTTGTCCATTCCCCCAGAGGCTACCAGCAGCACCTGAGTCCCCCCTTTTTATCAATGCCTGTCCTGAGTGGGGTCTCCAGGCCCCAGATGTTCATACCCTGGTTCTTTCCCACCTCCAGGTCATTCCCCTCTGGGGTGAAGAGTTTTACATAAAACACGCCAGCCATGGAAACAAGCAGATGTCCAAGGAGTGAGGCACAAGGGGAGTCTGGCCGTGTTAGAGACTGAACTCCGGCTCTCTGCTCTCAGGGCTGCTCCAGCTGCCAACGCAGTGGGCGGGCCTGCCTTGTGGGGGGCAGTCTGGACCCCGAGTTCCGGGCCACTCTGAGCCAGCCTGGTCATCTCCTTAGCTCCCACTCAGGCCTGCTCCTCTCATCCTGAGTCCTTCGTTGGCCTACCCCAGAGCACCCCTGCTCCCCTCAAGGACTCCTCCCCCCTTCGCATCTCATGCTGAGAGTCCCCATCACTCAGACACCACAGATGGGACCCCCTCAGTCATAGGGTAATTGGGACACAGACCGCACACTCAGGGGCCGGACAGGTAGGGGGGAGACACTGAGCTCGCTCTCAAGGGAGTGAGTCACCAGACCTCCCTGACCCAGGACACCTCCCCTTCTCCCCCAAACCCAGGACTCCTCCTGGCTCCAGGAGAAGGCCGGTCTCTTGTCTCCTGAGGGTAGGAGCCCTGTCTGAGCACTCTGGGCTAATGACTGAGTCTCTCCTGCCTGTCTCTGGGGTGGACAAGGACAAAGAGGTGAGGTACACGCCCAAGGCCCACAGTTTAAGAGGGTGCCCAGATGGTCAGGAGCTGCTGTTCTTTAATGCACTGTTTTAACAGTCAGCCTTAACCCAAACAGTCCCTGCTAAATAAAACCCCAGGATCAGAAGTGAAGACAGGGCCAGGCTTCCACCAGGCTTCGTCTTCTCTTTTGTTACTTATAGGGGGACAGGGCTCTGTTTTCCCTCGTGACCATTCCGTTTTCTGCAGGCTCCCACCTTACAGCCTTGTAAGGAAAGAGAGCCATCCGGACCCACCGAGAACAAGTGAGGACTCTTCCCAGGGTGAGACCTTCTCTACACGGCACAGACCCCAACCCTGGGGGGGCGCCGTCTTCGCTGTGAACATCCACTTCAAATTCTTCCGTTTTCACGAAGTGTTACTTTAGTTTGAGTCTTTCATGAATCGGTAGTCTATATTCCATGCACCCTTTACTATGGCCTAACGGGGTCCTCAGAATTAAGGACCCCCGTGCCTGTCCTGTCGCATTAAGACACGGGTATTTGTTACCGATCCATCCTAAGATTTGTTTTTAATTTGTTTTAAATTGCCTGAGGGCACTGCGATCACCAGTGAGAGACAGAGAACAGAGAGAGGAGAGAGAAAAAAGCACCCCCCCCCAGTGGGGCGTGGTCATGCCCCAATCCCTGCTTCTCCTTCTCTCTTTCTTTTAGGGATTTGGGACACTCACATGTCCCCAGCATGTTTCCAAGCCTCATGGGCAAGGATTTGAACTGCGATCAGCCATGTGGGACCCAGCTCCCTTAACCACTAGGCGACGGGGCCAGCCCGAGATTTGCTTGTGTACACACAGTGCATCGATAATCAGCAGCCCGTGAAGTGAGTCTGACCAGCGTGTCTACAGCATAGCCATTGTGACGACCGTTAGATCACCCCCTCGCCTAGCAATGTCTCCCCAGCCTCTTGCAGGCAATCTCCCACCTCCACCCCTAGCCAGCCCCAGGCAACCACTGACTTGCTTCCTGTCATTAGAGGTGATTTTTTTTTCTTTTCTGGA